AGGAGGAAGAAGAGGGAGGAAAGGCAAGGCCTTTCTCCCTGATACCTGCGCGAGGCAGCTATGGCGCTGCAGGGCTGGCGCTGGGCCGCGGGCTGGGCCGGAGGCTGGCGCTCTTCCACCGCTGCGCTAATCTGTCACTGCGCTACCTCTCCTCCACACTGCGCCGATCCTCTCCGCTGCTACCGCTGAAGTGCTGCGCTAATCCTGTAGACTAACATCCTCGCTACTAACCTCCCTAACTGAGGCTGGTACCCAGCTGATATAGTGCTGGGTCGGTCTCAGTCCTACTGAGTGCCTTCGGGTCTGGACCGTTGATCGGGCCCAACGGTTCAGATCCGATTTGAATCTGAAAAGTGGTGCCTAAAACTGTGCCGCCGGCCGGTCCTACCGATGGACCGGTACCTGGCCTAAACTCAACTAGCCGTTGGGTCTGGTGGGTCTAAACTAGGCCTACCAGACTCTAATCTGAACCGGCGGTTCCCTAGGCCTACCTGGACCTAGCTGGGGACCGTCGGGACCCGGTACCTAGGCCTAACCCGTGCCTACTACAGAACCGGGCCCTAACTGGGGCCCGTGTGGTATCATTATGCCTCATATAGTCAACTCATGGCTATGGTGGGTCAGCCACACAGTCTCGCACACTTGCAACCTCGAGATAATCTGCTAGGATCCACTCCTCGATTGAAAACTGTAGTGAAAACTTCCACAAAGGAACCCCACCGGTCACTGGTACAAAAGATGCAGATCAGGGTTCGTTTGCCACAACTCTGCTACAACAGGTATGTCTCCTCTTCTCTGTCTCTCCTAGGATCTCTCCCTGAACATCTTAGCATCGTTCCTCTCCATCTCCTCCCTCTCAAACCCCTCAAAGCACTCTACTAGGGTCGCCCAACAGTGGGCGTCGCTCCTGTACAAAAAAAAGGAAGAAAATCAACAGCTATAAGTCATCACAATTGTCCTCTGGCCTCACCTATGGGCATCTTCTTCCTCTTCGTCACAACACACTGGTTGACTTCACGAATCAGCACCACACCAAAAAAAATAAAATAAACAGGCCTGTAAAAACGAGTTCAGCAGTTTTGCTTCCTGGGGGGCACCTTCCCTGTTGCCCTGGAATCCTCTCTACGTGGTTGCTGGAGGCATACACACTGCAGGAATGGTGCTAAACATTGACTTTACGCATAACCTGAGACCCCACAGGCTCAGTCAACACTCACAAACACACGGTACATCAACAGTGAAACATACAAGCAAGTCAATGTCAAGGTCCCAGGTTCAAACTTTAGCAGCAACACTCAGGCATACAATACAACAGAATAGGCCACAACAACCACGACAGGTCCCGGGATCAAATCACGGAAGAAGGTGAAATCCTTTCACTTGTAGCGGCCCGGTTTCAAGGTTATCCTCAGAAATAGATCATTGGTCCCTACATCTACTCATCCGTGTCAAACGGATTCCTTTTTGTTGCCGTTCATAACCTGCAACTACTCTGGGTGCTGTTTTCTTCTGATCAGATCTACTGTACCACTAGTCCTCTAGAGGACAGTACTGAAACCAATACTTAACCCTGTATGGTTTTGTGGGTCTTCCTCTACCTACTCGCAGGTCAGTTTCTTCTTCTTCTTGGATGCGTTCCACATCATAAGAACCATCCATGTGAGGTGGTATTGTTGATCTTCAGGAAGGGAACTCATCAGACTGTGTACAGGTCAGTAACTTGGAAGCATGAAACATAGGGTAGGTCTTCAAGTGTGGAGGTTCATCAATCTCATAGGACACACCATCAGCACGACCGCAAACTTTGAGCACCTCCCAAGGTCCAATACATGCAGGTAGAAGTTTTCGTGAGACTCCTTCAGGAGTGAACTCCTTTGAACCGACCCGCACAAAATCTCCTCCTTGGAACTGCGCAGATGTGCGATATTGGTTTGCAGACTCTATCATTTTCTGATGTTCATGGGTTATCATGTCCGAAACTTTGCGCAGATCAGCCTCATACACTGCTGCATATTCTCTGGTCCCGGGTGGTAGATCAGCCTCGTACAGTGCTGCATATTCGCTGGTTCCGGGTGGTAGGCTCTGAATCTGATCAGGATTCAGGAGATCTATAGGCCTTCTGGGTTGCCAACCCTTATGCATCGCTGCATACATTAGCAGATTTGGTAGAAGGGGCTGCACCCTGTATATCGGCCATTGTCTTTTACCTTCCAAAGGGGGCCAGAAGTGAACGCTGTGGGGCTG